GCGAGCGACACTTGGCGCTTTGAGTTGGCATGCACAACAAGTAGCCCCACACATTTCTGCTGAAGTTGGGTTGTGCTTGAGTGAGGTCAGTAAGAGTACTGTTGAAACCACCAATAAGGTCAATCAATTGGTCCATTTCACCAAGGCTCCGAAGGATCACAAAATCATCATACATGCCATACCGGAACATGTGCCAGTTGGGTTTTTCACATGGGCTGATGCCAATTTTCGTTGGTTTAGCACCAATGGCACCAATGAGTCTTCATGAAGGTGAGGTTTGCAATGCAAGGTGATTCCTGTAGGATGGCATGCTAGCAAAATTGTGGCCACAGCCACGCCGGCGAATTGTCCGGAAAGCAGTTATGGTGATGACTTGGCAGCTGGCTCGGAAATTGGTTTTGCCTTGGCAGCAATACCCTTATGGCCGCTGGCCTTGAAAGATGTGGACGAAGCGAAGCGCAAAAAGTGTGCCCGAGATCTGCTGAGGAGCCCGACTTGCTGTTTGGACAGTAGCTTGTCCAGGCGGCTGAGGCATTTGCATCCCCGTGAATCCGAGTTGCTGAGCTCAGATGTTCAGACATTCTTGGCTACAGTGTTCGGACGGATTGCACCAACATCTACATTTATTGAGCGCTGATTTGCTCAATTCACCAACTGGTGTGAGAAGAAGCCAAAATTTGCCACCTTGGCCGCCAAGCACGTCACTAGCTTCTGCAAGGGCGCTGCCCAATCCTGGAGAAACAAGCATCCCAACCACAAGAAACCCAACCACAGACAGAGGCCAACCTGGGCGCAAGACAAAGCGAAGCGCACCACTGGATACAACATGTTTCTCTCAGAGTTTCGTATAAACACGCAAGGGAGGTCTTTCAGAGGAGATGATGGCCGGTCGGAATTTGTGCAAGAAGCATCAGCTGCTTGGCAGAGGCTTTCGCAAGGAGAAAAGGCTTCACACGGCATGAGACCCCGGGGTATGAATAGCTTGAGAAATAGGAGCGCAGGCAGCTTGGAGGAAGAGGAGCTTGGCGCAGATGACAGCGGAGGCTTGTGGGACATGTGCCGTTTGAATGAGGCATGGCCAATTTCTGTTTGCGTTCTTCAAGCTGCTCCGGGAGAAGGGCGTCCAGCACTTAACAAAATCAGTGCTGAGTGGGAGCAGGCTTGCTTTTCCGCAAAATTTTCCAAGACAACAGCTTGGTTGTTTGAAAAGGATTCTGAGCATACAAAATAACAATGAGTGGGATGATGCGTACCATGCCATATCATTTCGCATACAAATGTCAAAGCTATGTTTAAAAAAACTACAAATATTATTTTGTGCTTTTTCATTCTATCTTCATTTTTTGTTTAGGCATAGATGCATCTATGACGTATGTATATTTAGCCCTATTAGGTAGACGTTGTTTTTTGAAATGCTGTACATGTTATTTTATGCATTTGCTAGGATCACGAAGCCTTGATTGAAGCTGGCGAAGACGAAGATCTGCCAGATGTCAGCGACAGCCTCTTTTCTGTTTGCCCTTGGGGCGGGTGCGAGGTCAGTTTGAGGGAAGATGAATGGACAATTTTTTGCGAGGTTCACGAGGATTTGGTGACTGTCGTAAGAGTGCACGAACCCTTGAAACGCGATCTTTCTGCTCACCCACTTGTGCTGCAATGGTGCTCTCCTGCATCTGGCAAGCAGAAATACATTGCTGTGGCCTTCACTGTCCGAAAGCCTCTCTGGGACATGGTCATGTTTCAATTGGAGCCGCTGAATGGCCATAACGGCCTCGACTGCCCCTTTGTCTTGGAGCTCGAAGGTCAAGACAGAGGATTCTCGCTTCAATCCTTGCGCTCCGATATGGAATTCTGCATGGATCTTGCAAGAGAAGCCTCGGACTGGCTTTTGTTTTAACTTAAGGTTGGGGAAATCACTGGTGCCTTTGCTTCCTTTCGGATTGTTGGGCGCGCTGCGCTGGACAGACATACTTTGAGACGGGCAGCTGAGGAGATGAAGCAGATTCAAAGGGCTGCTAAAGCTGCAAAGCTAGCGCAAGGTCTGACAGCTATCAGAAAACGAAAACGAAGGACCCAAGGCAAGCGGAAGACAAGTCAGAGGCCGCTGGCCGCATCAGCTGCGCAAGACATCTCAGATGCACAGTGGGCATCGGATTCTGATTCTCTCACAGAAGATGCAGAAGGGGCGGATGGAAACCCGAGTATGCCCGCAAGCCTTGGGAAAGGCAGATGCGCTGCGCCTCCAGGTCCAGCCGTCAGGCGGCAGAAACAGTCCCGAGCCATCCCATGGGGACCCTTCCAAATAGCTCCAATCATCCCTGCTTCCGGTCAGACAGGTTGGGGAGCTATATCTGCGGGCGATATTGCGATCGGGGCAACACTTTGTCTTGCAAGAAGGCAGTGAGCCGTGGTAGCACTCTGACCGATGCTGTGTGCATCTTGCGCCTCAAGTGACGGCTCATTGCCGGATGCTCTGATGCTGACTGGCCGATCCACAGGCAGAGATCACACCACGTTGAGCTTGGCGGCAAAGGGCTGCAGGACTTTGCCGAGGGTATGTCGGAAGCGGAGATGGATGCACTGGTGGGGTCATGGCGTTGACCCGCATGTCTGGCTGCTGCGCCTAGAACCGAGGTTTGCCACTTGCTCGCGCTTACTTAGACACAGTGCTCATGGCATACACGCGTTTATTTCCATGGTGCACATGTGCACACACAGTCGCGCACAGAATGCTCTCGAAATATTGAAGTACTTGTTGACATGTTTAAACAATGTTTCTAAAAGAAATTCCCGATAAACTGAGAACATTTTACTAAAGATGTTTCGTAGAGAAAATAAGTTGTTTCGTAGAGATTTTTTTCCCGCAATATTACTTTTAATTAGCAAGTAAAATGTATCCGTAGAGAAAACATGATGTTTCGTAGAGATTTTTTCTTGCAAATTTGAAACAACTTTCTTGATATATTTCAGCAACTTTGTTCATATTGTTTCCGACATTTTTTTCCTATTTTCCAAGCCCTGCCCCAGGAAAGCCGCTCTCACATCGACATTTGTATGCATTTGACTCCTGCCTGAAAAAAAGAACCTGCGCTGCAGCCTTTGCCTTTGACAGCCATGACTTGTTCTGTAACCAACCCAAGCTATATATTGAAAGTTTAGCATCCTTTTGTTAGCACGTTTCCTATTGGTGACATTTGTTCTATTGACATGACCTTTTGCTAGGGCGCTGCCCTTTGCTGACAGTTTCTGTTGATCAAGCGACCCAGCGTACAGTGCCATGGCAGGGGAGGATGCAATTTTCAATTGCAGCTTCCAGCACAGCTGGGCCAGCTTGCCGCCTGGCTTTGCTTCCTGTGTCCTTCACGCTGAGTAAGCCGTGCTGCTGCTGCCTGTGCAATTCCACAAGCACAGGCCCCTCTCTGCTGAACACACCAGAGGAATTGGATTCATATGGGGGGGCGCGGCCCTGGGGGAAGTACCGCAAAGTACGAAGCGCTGAGACAGATTCGTTCTTCAAAGTTGGCGGTGTCCGGTCATGGAGCGCCCTTGTGACGGCCGCATCTTGAGGGCGAGGCCAAGCCTTGATAATGACGCTGTGAAAAAATGTGAAACAGAGTCTGCTGTCCGCAAGGTCGCTGGCCAGGAGTTGTTGACGGGCTCCTGGCTTTACAACATGTCCAGGGAGAATTTGAGATTGTGCCAGAAGATGGCACCAAAGAGACCTGCTTGGGGAGCTGCAACATTGACATGGGGATCCATGTGTTCAGGATCAGAGGGCCCAGCTTGGGTAGTGGCTGCGCTGAACCAGCTGTTCGAGGAGGAGGGGTCAAGCTTCAAACTTGAGCACGTTTTCTCCTGCGAGTTCTCGCCTGAAAAAAGAAAATGGATCCACGCTTCTTCTGTGCTCGCAGAGCCGGCTTGTGCAAAATTAGCTACGATCGTGGAGAGCTGACGCGTGCCCGGCTTGGATCTAGAATCTCTTTGCAAAGCCCCCGACGCTCCTTGTGTTTTCTTCGACATTTTGGAGATGGGCGCTGCCAAGGCTGATTGCTGGGAGCACGTGCCTAGCAAGTGCAGCGTGCCAGGCGTAAATCTTCTCATAGTTGGCACAAGTTGCAAAGATATGTCCCGCCAGAATGCAACCAGCGCGAGACAAGAGCTGGTGCTACAGGCTGAAAAATCCAAAGGCGGCAGCGCGCAAACCTTTCAAGGCCTCATGAGGTATGTGGAGCGTCACAGGCCGCTTATGATCTTGTTTGAGAATGTGGATGCAATGGACGATGTGAGCCTTGGCATTGCCCACGTTCATTTTTTAATCCACCAAGAATATTCCTTGTAGTCTCAAACCCACACAGATATTTACAACTTAGGCGTCATTGATCCCAAACATTTTTTGACTCAGCTACTTATTAAGCAATGAAATATAGACTAATCCCGATGTCAGATGCTGTGCAGCAGTGGTTTGAGGCTATATAATCTAAAATAAGTTTCCAATTTACATATATAACGAAAGAAATTGAAACCTGCTTGCGTTTGGATTGGCTGATGCTGTGCGAAAAATTTTTGTTTTCCTTCGCATGTAGAGGAAAAATTGGCGGTCAGTCCAACATGGATGTATTCCTCATGCAGCCAAATGGCAGCCCATGGGTACGAAGGCCAGCCTATCCTCACAGACAGCAGCGAGCTTGGCTTGCCTGCACGCCGCCGGCGCTTGTACGTCTTTTTGGTGTGGGTGGAAGCAAATCCTTTGCTGTCCTTCCAGGATAGAAGCGTGGATCCATCTTCTCCGCATTTGGCGGCCTTTTGTCTGGATGTGTGAGGCAAGGGCCTTGTGCTTCCGAAGCTCTTTTGGCTGACGATGACCCCGCGGTGCTCGTTGACTTAACCCATCGGATGCAGCGACGCGAAGAGCTCAATCAACATGAAAAGCCTTCGAGCACAGAGTGGGCAGATCACCACATGAAGATGGCAGAATCTTTGCGGGTGAGGTGGGGCCAGGGGGCGCAGCCCAACGTCTCCAACAACTCATGGTACAAGACTTTGACTGACAGAGAGCAGGACGCGCTCCCGCTGCTACAAGTCCAATCCCCTGGTAGCCTCATGCGGGATTTGTCCCAAAGCATTAACCGCGCCAATGCCTTTACTTGGAAGGCAGAAGCAGGAAAGCACATCGCGCCCACCATGCTTCCAAAGATGAATTTATGGCTTGAACCTGTTCCACCTCGGAACGCAGCTCGGCTGATGTTAGGCCGCGAAGCCTTGCTATTCCAAGGATTTCCAGCGCTGCTGTTTTTGGAACGCTTGGATACTTTTCAAGCTCAAGCGGGGGCCGCTGGCCTGGTTGCCCAAGCTGCGCAGCAGTCAAATACCAAGCCACTTGTGAAAAGGGCCAAGCATCCTCATCAAGTCAATGAGAGGATTGATTTCAGGAAGCAAGACCTCTTGCTCACTTGGCGGCCCACAGAGACATTGATGCAGGACTTAGCTGGCAACGCTATGTCATTGCCGGTGGTCATGACGATGTTGCAATGCGCATTTGTCGCTGTGAACTGGCAATCCGTGGCGAAGTGAGGCGAGCTGCTGATGCACCTGCGACGACGCAGCAGGACTGACATGCAATATCAACAACACTGTAGGGGTAACATAGTTTTGTTTTGCCACAAGCCAAACCCTTCCTAACACCTGAGCTTCCTTGTCACCTGCTTCCCTGGCCCCCTGACAGGATGTTGCTTCTGCAATGGCAGCCCTACGGGCAGTTGGGCTGTGTGAGGCCGCTGGCCTAGAGCCAAGCACTCCAAGCACTCTTGAGGTCGCGGAGCAAAAGGAGCCCCTTACGAGAGGAGTCGCCAACTTGAAGCATAAGCTTCAAGAGAGGAAGTCGCAATGAGTTTTGCGTGGCTGGCTGAAAAACGCGTCGCTGACAGCCCGGGGCGGCTAAGGGCAGAACAGGGTTGAGTGATATGATATGATATATGATAGGTATATATGATAGGTATATATGGTAGGTATATATAATAGGTATCTGATAGGTTTTGTTATTTCCTCCACATGGTTTTGGGATTCCTGAGGTTTATGATAAGGATTTGTCCGGCCTTTTTTGGATACTTGAAGTGATGCATGATCACTGTTGATATAAATGTTTTCACTGTGGGTAGGAGTCTGTCATGGAGCTTAATACATTTTCGCACATATAAAGTTAACATCCTTTCAAGAATCAACATTGTTCTATTAAAAAACAAAAGAAAAAGAACATATCTTGAATTAAAATTAAAAGCAACCAAAAAATACAATTTTTTTGAAACCTAAAAAACTTCAAAAAGAAGTTTCAAAAAGTAGTTGTTTACAAAAAATAACTTTTATTAGTCAAAAAAATTGTTTTTACAATTTCTTTTTGGAAATTTCTACAATTTCTTTTTGGAAATTTCTACGAATTATAGAAAGAAGTTGCATCTTTCAAAAAGAAGTTAGAAGAGAGTTCTCCATTTGGCGTTCACTTTCATTCAAGCTAGGGGGAGGTGCACCACCCCCCCCTCAGCCTTGCTCCAAGCCCGCTCAAGCTAGGGGGGGCTGCACCACCCCCCCCCTCCAGCCTTTCTAGTATCATCTTCCTGCACAACACACCATCCCTACCTCAAAAGCCTAGATATCCATCACCCCCAGCTTACCTTCAGACCATGGGAGATGCACCACCCCCCCCCCAGCTGTGCCCATCCACCTCTTCAAGGGGAGAGATCTGTTGTCCACTTCAAAATTGATTCGGGAGAGGAAGAGTAGGCTGCTTGAAGAGTACAGTAAGCTTCATGAAGAGTAGGTGTTTGTGTGTGAAAATGGCTAAGACTCCACACAACCATGACAGCACATACGATCACAACAAGTGTCCATTTTTTCCTTATGGTAGTCATCTTTTCCAAACGAAAGAATAAGAAGAAGAAGACAAAGAAGAAGAAGAAGACGACGAAGAAGAAAAAGAAGAAGAAGAAGAAAAAACAAGAAGAAGAAGAACGACGACAACAACAACAACAACCACAACCACAACCACAACGACCAACACCAACACCAACACCAACACCAACAGCAACAACAACAACAACAATCACAACAACAACAACAACAACAACAACAACAACAACAACAACAACAACAACAACAACAATCACAACAACAACAACAACAACAAGAAGAACAGCAGCAACAACAACCACAACAACAACAACACAACAACAACAACAACAACAACAACAACAAGAACAAGGTACAAACAAACACTGGGACCCCGTTCTCTCTATATCTCCCTTTTTGTTTCTACCCTTAAGGGTACAAACAAACACTGGGACCCCGTCGTTGTTATTTAGGGGGGGCCCCCCCCCAACAACAACAACAACACATACCGTTTAGTTCTGGCAGTGCTGGACCCCTTTTCCAGCCCTGAGCGGCCGAGATCCTCCAAAAAGGGG